GCTACGAGCTGTTGCGAGGCGGACTCCCGCCAACCCAATTACTGCCGAAGCAGAACTGGTTACTGTGCTTTTCCTGGCTTTGTGACGTTTGTAATGCGCAATGTCCGCAATAGGCATGGACCGCACTGCGGAAAGTGCTATCTATGAACCTCTACCATGCCTAAATCTGGAAGCAACTCAACAAGCGATAAGAAGTCTATTGCGCGGCTCTTGACATGCTTTTGCCTGCAGAACCTCCCATCCGTAGTTTACAAACCGCATAAACATTTTTTCTTCTTTTGGAAGAAAGAATGTTTTGCTTTTGTAAGTTATCAAACTAAACCTCCAAGATCACTGCTGCTAATTCCATAATTTCGTTCCGAAGCAACCTCTTCTGCACGAGTTACTGTAGCTGAAAGGTGCTGCAACCGCGGAATCAATAATGCCTACTGACGCAAACTTCGTTTGACGCATAGACTGCGTCTGAAATTTCGAGAACCGCCTCGACCTGAACTGGATGATTTTTGCATGGCAACGTCATGGTCATGAATCAATTCGCACTTTGCTGCTGTTTGCATCGTCGTGTCTTTCTGGATTTTCCTCATTCGTCTTCAGATATAATTGCGATTAAGGGGCAAAGATGTTCTTCCATACTATGGGTGGCATGGGAGGTATGGGCAGAGGACAAGAAGGTCCTGTTGACACTCGCCTTTATGATCTTCTAAAAGTGAAACCAGATGCTAGCGAAGATGAGATCAAGAAGGTTCGGTTGAATTTTTTGTCTTTTTTATCTTTGAGGGTGGTTTGTCACATGTTTTGAAGCAATCGATAGTCAGCTTTTGGTGTCTTTCATTTTCGCTATAACAGTATACATAATCAGTCTAAAAACTCCAATTTCTGATTCAAAATTTCTAGTTTCGTTTTCAAAAATGATGGATTGCAGTTCTGTCGAAAAATTTCAGGTCGCTTCTCATATTTAGCCTTTAGTTGCTTGTTTTCCTAGCAGTATTGGTTTAGGGCTTTGTTGTTAGAATGCATACTTTTTTCAGTCATATCGCAGACTAGCCAAAGAGTTCCATCCTGACAAGAATCCTGATCATGGAGATCAGGTATGCGACGATTCAATTTTTTTTTTGCAAATTTTTTATGGTTCTTTTTACAGTTCAAAGAAATTAGCTTTGCCTACGAAATCCTATCAAACCCTGAACGACGTCGCTTGTATGATA